CTAATTGAATGGTATAACTAATGCATAGACTCTTCAGTTTTGGAATATGAATAGTTATTTTCATTTTCTATATATATATATATATATATTATAAATTAATTATCATTTTTTAATTCTAATCCTTTTTATAGCTTTCTCTTGTATTTGCTTAGCCTGTGTTTGCTAATTATTAATTTTTATTTATTTTTCTTTGCTTCAGATCTTATCTTGCAAATGTGAACTCTTCCCTTCTCCCCTCGCATCATAGGTACATAATGGATATAATAGTCATATCATTAGAATTATGCTTAGTCATGAAGAAGGTAAAGATACATTAGGCCAATTCACTAGGAATCTTTTCAGTTTGTTAAGATATGTCTCACTAGGAAATATAGAGAACTTGTATTGTTTGAGATCCATAAATTAGTAGTAAATACTAGAATGAAATGGGTCCAAATAGAGCGAAATGAATAGTGAGAATGCATATTCCGACTCTAAGAAGCATGCAATTGAGGTATGTTTGTAATGGGATTAAAAAGAGTAATAGAAGTAGATGGATCATTGTAGCTGATAAGTAACTTCTAACTTATAAATAAGACACAAACTTTAAGATATGAGACATTTACAAACATAATCAACGTTACTTATGTTTACCTATAAACTGTATGTCATTGAAATATTTAAAAAAAAAGGAAAGTGTCACACTGAGTATAAGATATATATATGAGAACTACATAAGAAAAACGTTATACTAATTTAATTGATTGTGTATAGCTACAAACAATTACTCTTTCCTAAATTTAGTTACTTATTACTTACATGTTTTAGCATCATCTATATCATTTAAAAAAATTGTACTTACTAGCATGGTTGCACGTGTTCAGAAACTAGTATATATATATATATATATATACCAACAACAAATACAAATTTGTCACCTTGCATTCTTCCACTAGCATTTCTACTTACTCCTATGGTAAAGTTCCTTCTTTTTTCCATCTTCTATTTGTTTGTAAGATTTTTATCATTTATAGAATTTTTTTTTTCAAATTACAAAGGATTGTTTCAATTTTAATTCTTTATTTATGGTTGTTTCTCTTTCTGGAAATTCGTGTTACTATTTTGTGTACAAATGTAAAATCACTATACATATTGTCTTGCAATGTATCCGGTGCTATTTGGCTTGGAGTAAATTTGGTATTCTCAACTAATTATTAATAATTATACTTATTGAGTTCACAACTACAATGTTTTGGAAATACAAATGGACACAAAAGAGGATTTTGTTTTTTAATTTTATTTTGCTTTTGCTTAAACTAATCAATAGTTGAAGTGTCTATATTCATGAATTCAGATGAAGAGAAAATAGATAAAAACCGAAAAATTTAGGATGAAGTTCTAGGTACATACAACTACATAATCTCTTTCAATGCTATGAAATTATTTGGCGAATTAAAATAAACTTTTTTTTACTTAATGCATACTAATTGAACATCTTTTAAGAAAATTTTTCTAATACTTTGAATTATTTTATTTTATTCATCTAAATGGTTGTTTCGCTTTTAAAATTAATAACGATATTCTTTGCATTTAATTTTTGAAGCTGGTATGATTTTTCATTTTTTATAAAAAAAACTAAATTAATTTATGATATGAGAGTAACAATAAAGCATATAGCAAGTTTGGCATTTTCGCTTGATTTAGAAATACCTAAAAGAATTTTGAGGAAGATGAATTCATAAAGTTAGAAATATCAAGTATGACTTCTACAATGACTAAGCTTGATTACCTTATGTTTACATGAACTAAATTTGATTAATTCGACATTTTTGTGGCTTTTTATAAATTATACATGCAAGGTTTGGTTCGTTGCTTTAAAGTTATGCATAGGATCGACATAATATTATAATGTTATAATTACACTCTTATTTTTAAAGGAAGCAAATAGTAAGATGAATTGATTGAGGTTAAGTTAGTATTATATTTTAAAATATAATATTTATTTAACTTTGTGAGAATTTTTAATTATTGACGTATGGAACACACGTGCAATGCGCGTGCCCAGAGACTAGTAGTTTCACAAAGTTGTGGGAACCAACTGCACATGCCCATGGGGTCATTGCTGCCCACCACAAAGACTTTTCGTTAACCTTAATTTCTCTGCCAAAGTTTTCCACAGAAAATAAAATTGGCTAATTCCATGTCTTTTCTTTCCTTCATTGATTGCCAACAGCTTCCCGCCACCTTCATCTCTTCTACTGGTTGAATAACTTTTTTTTAGTACTTACAGCAGGCTAAAATACAAATTCATATGTGAAGTTGTTATTAGTTTAGTCCATACACAAATTGACAACGGGTAAAATCGATACTGAATTAACTGATATATATCTTATTCGTTTGATTAACGATTTAGTACATTTAAAATTCGAGAACCAATAAACCAAATCATTAAGTGTGAATATCCAAACTGAACCGCTCAATAAGGACCCTACCTAAACTACTAGTGTTTTGTTGCATAAAAGTAACTAAGCTATAGTTTGCAACTGTAATATACTTGTTGGAATATTGACCCCCAGATTTGCCTAAGGAACATGTATATTCTATCTGTTCCTTTACAGATTACAACAGATAAAGTAATGACACAATATTTTATCGCGGAAAACCCCGGCTCATAAAGGGTAAAAAACCACGACCTACACCTCTGTAGGATTTAACTCCACTTCATTAAACTCTGAGCCTCAACAAAAGATTACAAACCTATGTAATCTAAGGAATTATAAACTCTAATTCCTAGACGCCAACAACCAACTAGATCGTCGACCCCACTTCAAGTTATGAATTCAGATTACAACTCTTGCAATACTAATAACTAACTCTAATTCCTAAACTCCAACACAAATCCCCCAAGGTTTATGTTCCCAAGTCTTTAAGTCGCCCCAACTTGAAGACTCTATTCCTACTCCAGTTTATACTTCCCTAGATCTAGAAAGAATTAAAGATACAACTTGATAAAAACTCAATACAAGCAAACTTGACTTAAGAACTATAAAACATAAGCATATGAATCAGTTCTTCAATTCTTGTTTCCTTGCGTTGGCTGCACTTCGTAATCAGAAATCACTCAAATATGAACTCCCTCTATTTGATTTTATTCTGCTTGTAACTCTCTGTTTAAGTGCGCAATTTTCTCCAAAGAAAATATTGCCCTATTTATAGACTTTGAACTCTTCAAAACCTTTTTTCCACTTGAACTCGATTTACATATTTGATCATGCTTCCTATTCCGTTCTGGTTTGAAAGTTATTCACGCCGTTATACTTCCTACTCTGCTTATGCTTCCTACTTCATTTACACTTCCTACTTCACTTAGGATTTCTTTATGAAAGGAAACCTTTTGCACCAGTTTCTTGTCGAAAAAGCAACCCTTCCACCGCTTTATAACTTCTAATTCGCGTGATTGACGTTTTCCTTATTCCAGTCGGATTCGGTCTAAAAGGAATATGTCGGTGCAACCGGTTTCTTTCATATGTTCCTCTATTTGTCAATTATCAAAATCTTTTTCGATCAAACACTATCTATGAAGTTGTACCAATATTTATCATGCGGCAGATATAAAAGAGGAGGAACATGATCATGCATAGCGGCACAATGTCTACCAACAAAGTGATATATAATATTAACATGAACATATATTTACTTACTAGACATAGATATCCATGGCTGAAGAACATCCCTCAACAATGATCGATGTTAGTACAGTTCCTAAAAAGATATACTTCTCAATTAAATTGTAAGGCGGTTCAATAGAGGAAGCCTAACAATGATTGTTTTAAATGCAATACTGATCCTAGTTCTATAAGATATTGCATTAGAGATATGAATGGGGATATGAAATATGATGCAGCAAGGAAGATTCAAGATGGGACCATTATTAATCTAGAAGCCATGGCTATCAAAAAAGAATTGGAGTATTCCTTTGCTAATAAACTCCTAGCTGTGACTATTGAAACTAACTCATTATCTATGAAAAAGATATTGGATGGAATATGGGAATTGTCTTGGGGTATCTCTATAGTGGTTAAACAGATCACGAGAATGATAGAAAAAGGCAGGGTGGCAGTAGAGCATGTTTTCAGGGAAGGAAATGTAATGATAAATTATTTAACTAACCTAGTTGTTCATTTTGCAGGTTTCCTTAAATTTTCATCATTCCAAGATTTACCAACAGAAGGAAAAAAAACTCTTAACATGGAAAAAGCAGAGATGCACAACTTGAGAATCAGAAGATATCATAATGCAACTTACACAAACAACAATTATTGAATAAACAACTAAAATAACAATATAGGTACATAGATTGAAGTCATCTCAACCATAACATCATATAGTCCATCACACTTAGAATCTCCAAGAATGCCATTAAGAAACATAAATTGTAATTAATAAGATATTTGTTTAGTAGGATTGAGAGTCCTTTGAGATGAAAAGTTTTATCTTGGGTAGAGATATGGTTATATTTTATCACAAGAAAGAGTGATTATATTCCTTTTAGAGAATGCCAAAAATTAAGCATAGGACATGAATATTTATTTTGGGACAAGTGGAAGGAATAGGTACATGTGCATTGATTTTATATTTAATTATGAATAATTGTAGTGTACATACCTTAGATCTCTGGATAATGCTGAATTTTACTCCAATTTTACTAAGCCTCTCTCCTGTGATAGATGCAAATACAATATTATAGTGCATGAGTAGCTTGACTTTACAGATACAAATACAATATTATAGTGCATGAGTAGCTTGACTTTAAAAGTGGTATAGAGACATACAACTAAATGTACAAGACTGAGCATAAAATTTAAGATTAGAAGGTAGTACGCACAATGTTCATTAGCCACTGAGGGATACTCATGTGATTTTAATCATCCCCAAGTTCCAACATGTTCCTTTAAAAATGTTTCTCTAGGCTAATCACCCTTCTTAATTGATGGACTCATAATTTCCATACTATGATCATCTAAGTGCGCTTCATAAGACTTTTCATGTTTGTAATTGTGAGATACTACAAAGGTTGAACCTGTTTCTTTCACATGTTTCTTCATAATTTATTCGGAGATCCTTGACAACTCATCATTATCATGCATGCTTGTTTCTCTTATTACATAACTGTAATATACTGAGTGGATTTTAGTTCATTCCTTCAACATGATGCCTTCTTTCAATTTTGTGTTCTTTAGGCTTGCCTATTTTTCCAACTTCTTTGATTTGACCAAAAATAATTTTCACCAACAAAACTATTATTCCATCCTTTTCTTCTGCAGGTGAGAGGAATTCCTCTAGTTTCAATCATGTGTCTGGAGCAACAAGTGTCCATATATGAATGTTGCTTGCTTCCTCTCACTTTTCCTGCAAATTCAAAGGTTAGATTTAGGAACCCATACTAGCTTGGGTCCTTTGTATTGATAAAAATGCTAGAAGAAATAATAATTTAACATAAAAAAAAAATAACTTATAATATATTTGATTAATTTAAACAAATGACACATTTTATTTCATTTTATTTTTTAGAGGAAGGGATCCAAAATGATACATTTGACTCGAAATACAAGTGATTGGAATATTAATAAAACTAGATTAATTAGAATTTATTTAATTCATTTTGAAATAATAATTTAAACCAATTTAATAAATTAAAGCATGAATATCATTTTGAATTAATTGACTAAACTTTTTGAGAAAATGACTAAGTAAGCATTATTATATTTTAATTAATTATAAAAGGTTTTTGACTAATATTTTTAAAGTTTATTTGAGAAAAGTACTTTAACTTAAAACAATTTTAAAAATGAGTAAGATCTGATTAAGCAAAGAAGCATTAAAGAACATCTCTTTTAAGTACAAAAGGTTTAACTTAATTGAAGATATAAAATTTTGACCAATATACTTGATCACTAAAATAAATGAACACAAAACATGAAATGTATTAAAATTAAACCAACACAAAGAAAATGACTCATCTTTTGGGGAATTCATTAAGTTAATTAACAATTATAAAGTTAGAGTTAAACACCAAATAAATTATCACGATTAAATAATTAAAGAATAAGGGAGAAATTGAATTATGGGCCTCCTTTTTGGGCCAAATTTGTTGCCATTTTTGGGTTTAACCCAATTTCCGTTTTTGTATATATCAGTTGTATATCGGTGTATATCGGATGTATACAACCCCTTTTTCTGCTTTCCGAAACTTGTAGCAGCCTCCTTAACCTATAAGTCAGCTTCTCAAGACCTATATTGGCTTGCATTCCGCTTTGATTGACCAAAGAATCGACTCGAAGGGAGAGTTTAGAACCCCCATGGCCCCTTGTCATGCAAATAAGGAGATTTCGAGTCCAAAAGACTCTCATGGCGTTTTACGACAAAGAAAAGAAATGAATACAAATTAGTATATGATGAGAAAACAATTGACAATTAATAAGGCATACACGTAGTATTGACTTATATAATTAATAAACATAAACTATATACACATTATCAACCATGAACTAATAAGGAAGTGGGCAAATAACAACAACTTCATAAGTTAAAAAAACCATAATCCAAAGTAGACAATCAACATGACAACATTTGAATACGACTAAAAAAAAAAGTGAAGAACCTAATGCCCAATAGAGGGACATGAGCTATCATGAGAAATGCACAAGTTGAATGTAAACAAAAATTCAATAACGAGGAAGACTATTATACAATATACTTAGGTTCTAATATTAAACAAAGAAAAACAAATGCATATCCATATTAGGACAAGTACGAGAAGAAACCAATAGCAACTTTACATTATTATTTATTATATATAAATGTCAACAACAATATAAAAGCAAAACAAATCAACTTAAATTGATACTTGATGATACCAAAAGAGCAAATAATGCACAATCAGTATACAAGAAAAAGACATAAAATATCAATCACATCCTCCAACACGTTAACTAGCACATGTAAAGTTCCTTCCTCACAATATAATACCAAAAATTGTTTTAAAGGATACAAAATTATTGCCACATCAGAGATTTCACTACACTTTTTTTTTAAAAAAATAAAAAAAAATTTAGATGCTAGACTCCAATGTTGATATTTACGATAAGGCTTCTCCAATATGTTGTGATGAGGACGCTTACGGCAATTGGGATATGGGTGAATAATGCAAAGGATAATTAGCTCTACAAGTTGGACATGTGTTATTCATTGATAGCCATTTTATCAGACAGTGAATATGAAACTCATGCAAACAACTAGTTGTTATCCCCTCATTCTCACCTTTGAAATCTTCATAGCAAACAGGGCAAGTTTGAATGCCAAACAAATAGGTGACATAACTAAAATCGGCAACAATAGTCTTCAAATCAACTGTCAGTCGTTACAAACAATTTCATTTCATTTTATTTTTTAAAAAAGAAACTCTTAACAATAGAGACGCTTAAACGCCTTACACAAAATGAGTATCGAGCAATCGAATATAACAGAGAACTACATCTTTAGCTCATACGGAAACTGAAATCAAAGAGAGTGTTACCTTTTCGAGGGCAGCGAACTGAGACAACGAGTTTAACCACGAAGAACTACCACCACTGTGAGCCTGCTTCGATGGGTTCCGAAAAATAAAATAACTTTGAATTCTAATAAAGGAGACTCAAAATCTCTGGGTTTTTTTTTTTTCAATTTTCCTCTATTTCTCCCCCTTTTTTTAGTGATCAAAAGAGATGAATATATAGATGGAAATTAGGGGGAAATCGGGTGAAATTTCTCATTCCAAAATTCAAATTTCTTTCTCCTTTTCAAGGCCAACAGGGAGCAACTGAGTTTTGTATGAAATTTCTCCAAAATCCCAGAAAATCCGAGGCAGCAGGGCTGTTGCGTACAGCTGTTGTTGACATTTTGGACAGTTGCTGCTATTGTTGAAATTAGAAGGGAAAGAGGGGGTGGGGCCGGCTGGTTGCTGTTGATGTATTGTTGAATGGAATTGTTGGATTTATTCTATTGTGGGCTGATGGGTTAGGAATTTAAGGGTGGGAAAAGGCTGCTGAAAAAATTGCACTTGGGCTGAAGGAAATAAAAAAGGGCCCAACATTTTGGTCTTATCACAAATGGGTTTAGGTGGGTAGAAGGGTTGGTTGTGTTTGTAATAAAAAGGCTAAGTTTTGAATTGAGGATTTGGCCATATAGATTGCAATTAAGTTCGATTAGATTTAAGAATTTAGTCAAATTGAGCTTAATTGGTGATTCGACTAAAAAGCTAAATAAGATGAATTAATATAAATTAATTAATGAGCTTCTAAATGTCATCGAAATAAAAATGATTAACTCAATTATAAAATATTCACTCAAAATTATAAACTGTCAAATAATTAAACTAATTAGCCAGATATTTAATTAAAACAAGATATAATCTTTTTGAGACGATTTTCACATGTTCAAAAATATACTAATTATATACATAAATATGTAAAATATAAATATTGTCTAAAAATTAAAATAAGTGACAAAACTTACTTCAAAAAACCTGCAATCTCATTTTTTTTTTAAAAATTATAAAAACTAATTACTTTTAGATCATTTAAAATTGAAGAAGCTCGATGATTAATCTATATTGGGGAGGGTCAAAATTGGGTGTCAACAACAACTCATCATTATCATGCAGGCGTGTTTCTCTTATTACATAACTGTAATAAACTGAGTGGATTTTAGTTCATTCCTTCAACATGATGCCTTCTTTCAATTTTGTGTTCTTTAGGCTTGCCTATTTTTCCAACTTCTTTGATTTGACCAAAAATATTTTTCACCAACAAAACTATTATTCCATCCTTTTCTTCTGCAGGTGAGAGGAATTCTCCTAGTTTCAATCATGTGTCTGGAGCAACAAGTGTTCATATATGAATGTTGCTTGCTTCCTCTCACTTTTCCTGTAAATTCAAAGGTTAGATTTAGAAACCCAAACTAGCTTGGGTCCTTTGTATTGATAAAAAAGATGAATGAGATCTCTATTGATAAAACATTTTTAGATTTTTTCTTTTGCCCCAACCTGTTCCTTTGACGTGATTCCTTTATTTTAACAGGGCTAATTTTTCTATTTGAGACAATTTTGAAGTCATGTGAGTTATAACTATTGGGTAGGTACCCCTTGAGTGACCAATACTACCACAATGTGTGCACAAATATGAGGTTTTCTTAGGGACTTATTTAACAAAACCTATTCCAGCTTTAGTGTTATGTGTTCTATTACTGAGCTGAGTCACAATCATTGAGGACTGAGTCCGTTTTATTTACCCTCTCAAGCTCATACTTAGTTCTAGCTAGGTCAAGATTTTATTCTTCTAGATTTTTCCTTTAAAAAAAATAGTTCATCTTTTAACCTTTTTAGATCTTGGTCACCACTAATTTTTCCTTTCCCATTCTCAGTAACACTTTGTTTCAAAAATTCAGATTTGAGAGCCAAAGTGCAGGAATCAAGTTGTTTTACCTGTTCCTTTAGGAATTGATTTTCTTTCTTGAGATAAGAGTTAGTTTTTTCAAGATCAGTATATTCGAATTTTAAACTGGTCAAGGAAGTCAATAACTGATCTTTGTTTTCATCCAATTCTAAACATTATCTATGAGAGTTAAAATAAGGGAAGATAATTTTTTCTTTGAAAAACATTTTAGTTTATTTTTAAGGTCA